GTGCGTGTGTGTATGTCATCAAAGAAAGGTAAATACAGTGTTCGAATGATTAATCGAATTTATTTTTATTTTCTCCTCCGTCTGGATGATTTTGGCAAAACTATTTGCTAAATAAGGCAACAAAATTTTATTTTTATTGTTATTCAGAACTGCTCCGATAATCATAGGACGCTAATTGTATTAATTTTCTTAAGGTAATTAGTATGATCGGACCTACTACATCAATATCATGTTGTGGTAAGGTCTAATTTATCAATGAAGTATGAGGATGAATTGTTATCTGGCACATTTTGAAATATAAAACTTTTTCGTGTCATATTTTCAATATAGGTTTGTATGTGTATGAACATGCCATAGGAAAATATTATGCAGATAAATGTATGCATGATGAGTATTCTCAGAAATATACACTTTAGAAACGATGTGGATGTAAATAACCCGACTTGCGTAAGGGCGGATGACCAAACTGCAATTGCTAAAGTAGCTATTATTGTTCTTTTTCATTTCAACTGTTAAACATGGAAATTGTGGAGAATAAAAATAAATGGGAAAAAAATCTTTGTTTTAATGCTCGTTTTAATGTGTTAATAAATAAGAATAACTAATAACTGATAATGACCGTATAACAACTGTCTGCATTCTTGCATAATAAATAGTTTCTGAAATCCGATTTGTATTGCATGAAAAGATTCTTGGTTTTGTTTGTTAATTTGTATTTAACAAATTTCATAAAAAACAAACCAAAAAAAGAAAAAAAAAATTAAATGTACCGTACCTAAAGGAGAATATGTTTTACATTTTTATAATTACATCAGAATTCAGAATGTACTGCACTATGATAATTGCTTGATTGATGGATGGACCGTTCGAAAGGTTGAGCTTATCGCCCACTTATCATTATGATTGCTGTGCTTGATTTCCACGGTCACTGGCGGTTTGTGGTGCTTCTGAGTTCCATGTAATTGTTTTTATCATATTTTACATATAAATCAAGCAAACACTCAAATTAAATGGAGGTAATAAAAATTTAATTGATTTCATTAATTTAAACAATTAATAAATAATTATTCAAATCAGAGTTAATTATCAACTTTAGGCCTAAATAAAACAAATAATAACCTAATTTTAATAATTGGTAATTTATTAAAATATTAATTTCATTACTCTCATGCTTGACAATTAAAAAATTAAATTAAAATTATTTTGGCCAGAAAATTAAAGCTGGAGCCTGTTAGCCACATTGGAGAAAGTGGATAGGGTACCTGGCTCGAGCCAGGTTAATATTAAATCATAATTTCACCTTATACTAAGTCTATCATTTCAACTTTTCAAAATAAACCTCCTGTACTAAGTCAGATCACCGTCACACTTCTGATTAGTGATTTTCCTCCATTAGTGGAAAGAGAGGGGCGCCGCGTCGGGTCTGGTTATACCAAAGATCTTTATAAACACAAGATAGCGTTCTCCGCGATTTACGCGTGCAAATTCTGTAATTGGAAACTTTTGACCCTTGACCGACGCTTCTATTTGTTACGCGTAAATCGCGGAGAACGCTATCTTGTGTTTATAAGATCTTTGGTTATACCATGGAGGTATTATTGAGAAGGAGATCACTCGGCAAAGATACCATGGAGGTATTATTGAGAAGGAGATCACTCGGCAAAGCTACGCGCACGCAGCGCTATGCAAATGAACCAAGATCAAAGTTGCCGCAGCGCGTAAAGAACGTTTGCGCGATGCCTTTGAAGTCCCATGTGTTCCCCGCCATCAAAATTTTCAGCAGGCATAATTGACCAAAAAATTTAACATGACGAAATGGAGAGCACCTTCTTTTCCAAATGCGCACTACATACTGTCAATCACTATGGCTGCGCAATCTTTTCTATTTTGAAGCTGATACATTCATCTCTCATAAAATATCAAACA